AACTGGCGGTCAGTTTCAGCAGCAGCTGAATCTGGACGCCAGTTCCGACTTACATACAGATCCAACTTAAGAACAAACCTACAGTCCCTATCTTGTACGTAACCCGGGGACTGCTTGTATATCCCATTGGCCATGGTTCATCATTCCCAGCAAACTACTGACGATGGGAGCTGCGAGTGTCCATACCTATGGATGCACAGGTGAATAAAGTATCTGGGGGCCCAACAGAGGCTAACCCTGGTAACTGCATCTGGCCCACAGGCTGCTTTATGCCCACGCTTGGTATACAGACCCAGACTCATAGACTTTGGCTATGTCTAGACTGCAAAGAAAAGTCAGAAAAAGATACGCAAATTGCTAATCACAATTTGCGTATCTGTTCCCACTTTTCTTTCAGAAGAGGCTTTTCCAAAATTTGGCCTGTCTATACGGGGCCAAATTTCAGAAAAACCTCCTCTTTTGGCACATCCCTTCTTTCTCACACAATGAAGATTACAGGGATTGTGAAGGAATGTGTCCGCTTTTTCGGAAATTGTTCTGACAAAGCGGACACATTCCTTGGATGCAGCATAGCTTTTCTGGGATGCCTCTGGTATCCCGGAAAAGCTCTGCAGTGTAGATATAGTCTTTAAGGCCAGAAGGGACCATCATGCTCATCTGGTCTGACTTCCTGCACCTCGCAGGCCACAGAACCACACCGAGTGACTCCTTTAACAGATCTATCACCTCACCCTCAAGTTGTGAGTTGGATGCAGTCATGATTTATTGTATAAAATGTAACTTCAAGTTACAGAGAATCTACCATTTACACTAGTTTAAACCTAAAAGGTACCTCTATCTCTCCTCATGCTGCAGTGAAAGGCAAAAACAAAACAAAACAAAAAATCAAGGTCTCTGCCAATCTGACCTGGGGAAAAATTCCTTCCCAAATATGGTGGTCAGTTGGACTCAGCATTTTAGCAAGACCCACTAGCCAGATACCTGAAAAAGTATTCTCTATAGTAAATCAGAACCTTCCCGATATAGAGTCCCAACACTGTCCATTGGGAATATCTGCTAATAACTGTCACAGACCAGCTACATGCCAACGTTAACAGTTTCATCATACCATCCTCCCCATAAACTTATCACGCTCAGTCTTGAAAACGGTTATGATTTTTGCCCTCTCGGCTCTCCTTAGAAGACTATTCCAAACATCACTCTTCTGCAGGGGCGGCCTGTCCATATAGGCGAACTAGGCAGTCGCCCAGGGTGTCAAATTAAATGGGGCGCCAAGTGGTGGTGCAATATCATTAAGGGGTTTGGAGGTGGGGGCACCGATTGCATGATTCGCCTACGGCGCCAGTTGCTGGCAGCTAGTCTAGGGCCGCCCCAGCTCTTCTGATGGTTCGACCCTTTGTCTTATTCCAAGCCTAAAGCTATTGATGGCCAGTTTACATCCATTTATTCTTGTGTCAACACTGGTGTTTATTTTAAATAACAGCTCTCCTTCCCTGGTATTTAATCCTCTGATGTGTTTATAGAAAGCAATCCTATCTCCTATCAACCTTTGTTTGGTTAGGCTACATAAGCCAAGTTCTTTGAGTCTTCCCCTATACGGTATTTCCATTCCTCTGATCATCCTAGTAGGCCTTCCCCATACCTGTTCCAGTTTCAATTCATCTTTTTTGAATGTGGAAGACCAGAACTGCACACATTATTCTAGATAAGGTCTCATCAGTGCCTTGTATAATAGCAAAATACAGGTCTACATAATCCTGTATTTTGTTTCAGCTACTCCAGACTAACATGGCTACATTTCTATCATATATAATAGCAATAATGCTTCCTATCTCAAGTGAAAATACCTCGCCTGATCCAATGTTTATTTTACAGCTCAGAAGGGGAGGACGGGGAGGAACATGCTCCCAGCGCTGTTAGCTATTCCCTTTGTGGAGGTGGTTTACCTCCAGCACTGGTGCCATGACCACACTGCCACATTAAAGTGCTGTTATAGCAGTGCTGCTGCTCTTGTACTTTAAACTTGAAAGTGTAGACAAAGCTCAAGTGTTTGCCTGAACAAGAAGCAGGACTAAATGGGAATGTTGGCTGTGCAGTTTTAACATTGTTTTATGTTTGAATGTGTTTTTTTAACAAAATTTTACATTTGTAAGGTCAACATTCATGATAAAGAAATTGCACTATAGTACTTGTAATGGGAGAACTGAAAATACTATGTTTTTTAACAGGGTAAATATTTATAATTAACAATAAATATAAAATGAGCACTATGCACTTTGTTGTGTTGTAATTTCAATCAATATATTTGAAAATGTAGGAAACATCCAAATATATTTCAATAAATGATATTTTATTAATGTTTAATGGTGCAAGTAATTGCTTAACCAATTGTTTGTGTTTTGTTTGTTTGTTTGTTTTGTCCTGTAATAACATGAGAAAATCTGTGTCTCAGGTGGGATTTGTGAGATCTAAGGTTTTTGCATGTAGGAGTGAGATAAAAATACAAGAAACAATGTGGGATTCAATATCGGGGACAGGACAAAGCAGGGTTAAAAAACAGTCCCATATAGGGCTCTACTGCCTACTACCATGTGCTGTTTATGACTCATCAAGTAAATTGACATTGAAGTGGGTGAGGTAATATCTTTTAGTGGATCATCTTTTGTTGGTGAAAGAGAAAAGCTTTCAGACGATAGAGAGCTCTTCAGGGTAAAAGCAGTGTTTCTCATCCTATTTACCACTGTGGGAAGCATATCCAACTCTTTAAGGGTACATTTACACTGCCGCGTTATTTCGGAATAACTGACATTACGCATCTACAATATAAGCCATTTTTTAAAATACTGTCAAGCTGGAGGACTTTTTACTCTTACTCCTGTAACCCTCATTTCACAAGGAGTAAGTGGAGTCAAAGGAAGAGTGTCCTCATTCCACAAGGAGTAACGGTAGTTCGGACTAGGAAGCCTAGTCCGAACTACCTAGTTCGTGCCGCGTGTAGCCGCACGGCACGGGGTTTGAACGAACAGGGATTTAAAAATGGTGGCGCCCAGTTTATGCAAATGAAGCCCGGGAAATTCAAATCCCGGGCTTCATTTGCAAGTGCGGTATGCCTACATTACCCCGCTAGTTCGAACTAGCGGGGTAGTGTAGACATACCCTTACACAATCTCTGGCCACAAGAGACCAGAGCATTGGGTCTTCAGAATAGAGGTAATGCTTCCTCAGATCATAAAGATACACCACCTGCTCTTTTGCCTCCAGTGAATTTTTATTGGTCAGGGCTCAAGAATATTACTATTACTCCACTGTAAATCCAAAATGGATCAACAAATTTTTAGCCCCTTACCATCGTCCTCTTCACTTAAGTAGCCAGGCTTATTCTTGTAACAGAAGAATGTTGAAGGCAGTTTGAGAGAATCAGCAAGAGCTCTTTGTCCAGGGGTAGGTGTTAGCTCAAAGACAATGAGTACCTCATCAGAGGGAAGTTCTGCATCAGCTTCTTTCTTCCTCCCAACTGTTACAATATCAAAGATTAACAGGATCAAAATGAAGACACTTGAGAACAAATCCGAAAAACTCTACATCTGAAGTCATTCTGAAGACAATATTAGACCACACATGTGAACTACAAATATATAGAGAGAGCCACAAGAAACTAAGCATCAAAATTATGACAGAATACCAAGAAAGGGATTTAGTGTGAAGGAATGTCCTTCCAACATTAAAATGCACTAGTAAATACTTAGGTGTCACACCATGCTTTACATTAGGCATAAAACATTCTTCAGTCTTTGCAGCCCTTGTTGATTTTCATCATACAAGTTAAGTTAGATCCAACTGCTGCATGCATTTCTTTTTTAAATTTACTATGGGGCTGTGGTCCCTGCTCGCCAAACTCCATCTGTGGCAGCTGAAACAGGGCCTCTCTTCCTACCCATGCCTCAGCAGGAGGGGGCCTGCCACTGTCCCTTCCTGTGGCCAGATGAGGGCTGGGCCTCGATAGGGCAGGGTGTGTAGCTGGGGGGGAGGGTGCAGGGAGTCTGGCTAACCCAGGAGAGGAGGGAGACAGTGCCTAGGGAGTGCACGTGGATTGCTAAAGCCAAGCAACAGTTGCACCTGGACAGGCGAAGGAGTAGACAGCATCTGCTGGGGGAGGTGGAGGGGGGGGGGGGGGGGGGGGCAGGGCCCTTCTCCCTGGGGGGCTCCATCTCCTGCCTTCAGCAGGTTCCTTCTGGGAGACAGGACTGGCTCCACCTAGGGGCAGTGAATGCAGGTTGCCGTGGGCTGTGGAGACTCCTTGCTGGGAGAAAACTTTCCCTTTTGGCCTCCATCAACCAGCACTCTGATTTCCACCCCATGCATGGTGGCTGCTTGCTATCCTGTCTCTTCAATGCCCTCCACGCCCCCATGCTAACCACAGCCAGGCCCAGCGAAGAGCAGCAGGAGAGAGAGCAGCGCTCAAGGACAAAAGCCAAGAGTCTTGGTGTGTGTGGCTGGGTTGGCTGAGGAGCTCTCGTTGGGGCCCTACTTAACTTCAAAGGCTAACCTTGTAGCACACTCCCCCTAGGGACAGCCGAAGGGTCCTGGTGGCTCACCTCCCACTCCCCCAGGAAGCTAGTGCTGTCACACTAACCTTGCAGGGGGTGGGGGAGAGGACGACAAGGCTGGAGCTCCAGACAGGTGAAGCAGGTAGCAGCCTGAGGCAGGTGGTGGCAGCAGTTCCTGCTGGGTCATGGAGTGGTGGGGCCCTGGACCCAGAAGTATAAGTGGGTCCAGAGACAGCTTCCTGCAGGGGATCTGGGGACCAGAGGGGAGCCTAGGGTGCACCCGAGGGGCTGGGGTGGGGGGACACCAAGCCATGGCGGCTGCTTCCCCTTCTGAGTGTGCAGAGGCTTGGGGAGGTGACGTGATTACATCACTGTGATCCCACAGGAAAGTTTCTTATAAAGCAATTTAAATAGTAAAGTTTGGATATTTTTGGCATCCAAATTACTATGAATTTGAACAGAACATGATTTTGTTACAATTCACTTTAGAAAATACACTGCAGAGGCAGAGAACTAGGGATGTAAAATCCCATTTAATTAGTTAACTGGTTAAATATTATGTTTAGCAGGTTCACCAATTAAACCAGGGTGGGCGTGGGCAGGCTAGAGTGGCCTAGAACCACCAAATTAAGCAATAGAGTTTCCTCTTACCATAACAAACTAAGTAGAGTTTAGTTGTGCCAGGAAAATGGATTGTTCCCAAAATGGATTGCTTTTCATAAAACCATAGACACACAGAATCATGAGGCAGGTGAAAGGAGTTGGCTGGGAGCATGCCCTCCCCACTCTGGGACTGCTCCAGTCCCAAGCCTCCCACTCCTCAAGTGCCCTTTAGGGAGGAATAAAACTCTCCTCTACCTCTCCCCCGTACCTTTGGGAACATTACTGGCTGTTTGCCTTCATCAGGGAGTGAAGGGAAAGTTCAGTTTGCTGCATTATTCACTCTGGCTGGGGAGTGCAAGTGGCAGATGAACCAGGACCTCCCCCAGCCATGTCTATTGGAGGTGCAATGGCCATGGAGAGTTGCTTCTCACCTGGCCCCAAGCTGCTATGGTAAGAGGGCAGAGGTAGTCCTCTCTCCCTAGGGCTGCTGCATACTGAACTCCTCAGCCCCAGCCCCACCTCGGAGCAATGATTTAATGAAGAAAAACAAAATCTGAGGGAAGGACCTGAGCAACGTCGGGTAAATCTTCTAGTTGTAAATACGTGCCTGTGCAGCTAGTCCAGTGGAAACCAGATCCAAATAGGAGATCAGACACACAAGGAATGGTGTTAGCTAATGTTCTCAAGCCCTTGGAAAGAATGTTAATTCAGAAGTGAGGCCCTGAGCTTCCAATGAAGAAACAACAAAATTTAAGGACCTGAGAAACCCCGGTTAAAATAGTTTGTAAATCAAGCCCCATCAGTACATTAAAACAATGTCAAATTAATAGATTTTTAGCATAATGCATGAGCCAAACTTCACTGGACTTCAAAAAATCTATTTAAACTTAAAACCAAAACACACATCTGACAGCCAGCAAAAGTTTGATTAAAAACACTTCTTTGGTCTCAAAAATCACAATTACATCTCTTCAGGCTTTTAGAATCATACAGAGATAAATACACCTCAATCTTGAATTGGAACTCTTCCTTCCACCATACTATTAGCACTAATTTAACAGCATCAGATCCAAGTGCTAAAAATATCCTACTGTTTAGTTCATGCTTCCAAGGGTGTCCCTAATCTGCAAGCATTTCCCCAGAGGTTTTCCCTGCCACTACCATAGCAGCGGGCGAATGGTTCCTGGGAATGGCGTGGGGCGCGAAGCCACGTGCGCTCCTGGAAGTGGGACACTGGCTAAGCAAACTACCCCCTTCATGCCCAGATCCCACAGCGAACTTTCTAACCTGGCAAATTCTTTAATCTGGCATACACTGTTTCCCAGGGTTGACGGATTAAAGAAGTTCAAGTTTATTGCTTCACAGAGTTTCATACTTGGCATGTAAGGTTACTCTAAGCAAGCCCACTTCAGGATGTTGCAATGGAAATAGTCCGTCATCTCGTTAAAAGTACGGTTTCTTGTTTGGTGTATATATAATCTTAGAGGTATGTCCTCTAGAACAAAGCTGAGGTAGAATGGGAAAGCTCATGCTGCTAATACTAGCTATGGTACAGACCCATTCAATAGCTACCCTACAGGACTTCAGTTTCCAATATTGCCAATCTAGAATCTTTTGTGAGCACGAAATTAATGATTTACTCAAATGTTAAACATGCAGAAAACATACATTACATCCATCCAATAAAGTAGTTAGTTTCAGGGTACACTGTAGTATACTAAACAGAAAAGTCTGTTCAGCGTAAGCAAGGTTGAGGCCAAAATCCCATAATAATGAGCCCAATAGTTGTCTTATCACTGGTCAAACATCCTAGTGTTCTAATCCTCATTTCACAAAATGCATGGCTCAGAAGACAAGTTACAAAACAGGTATTCCTGACAAGCGACGTAAAATTTAGCCAGAATTAGTTCAGTTTTAGAAAAAGTAAATTTGTCCTTGGTTTCATGTTTTGCCCAAAAATGTGATTTTCCCATTAATTATATGAGTAAACATGGCTGAGCTAATTATAGTATTTTCAACATAGCTATAAAAAGTTAAGTTAGAATAGATACAAGGAAGAATCAATGCTGTTCATTCCATATGTTAGAAAAAAGGCATTACTCATCCAAAGCAGCTCTCTGCTGCTAGTCTAGCATTTTAACTTACTGATGTCAAAACAGCTCTGTATCAGAGTCTGGACTGCTAGTGTTTGATAGCTGTGAACTTTTTTTTGTTCAATATTGAAGACTTTATAGGCCTGAAGAATAACTGAGTAACCCTTGACTATATTTTAATAGGGTGGATTTGATTTCAGGTATGTCCTTTATTAATTCCTTTCCATTCCCCTCACATCAAATCAGTACATATGACGGTTCAGCTGTAGCCAAATGTGGATTTTAGTATTTAATATTAACTTCTTAAAAGAATGAAATTCATACCATATTTCCAAGGTCTGTAAAACAGAAAAAACGTATAGAAGTATGTCTTGTAGAGTGTTTAATCTATCTGTGACAGTTAAAAATACTTTGAAATGGCAAAACAAAACATGGATTCTTTGCATTTTTCCATCCAACAATGCACCTTAATGGAGCATCGCAGAAATAAATTTTGAGGTAGAAGCAGTTTTTAAAATCAGGAAATATTTTGAGCAACTTCATCCTGTGAATGTAAAATCAGAAAGTGTTCCCTATTTTAGCTTTTCCCTCTTTTACAAACTGAATAAATGTCAAGTTACGGGTAAAATATTACCCTACATATTAATCACTTTTTCCTCTGTAAAGGAGGAAGAGTAAGTTAAAGAAAATGTTAGAGGTGTAAAGAATCAAGGATATTTACTTTATTTCACAGACAACAAATGAGAATAATAGCAGGTTTAAAATTGAAATCTGATTACATTTGGAAGTAGCACCAATGTTCCCTCTAGTCTTCCCCTCCACATGCGAATTTTTTCCATCTTTGTGCAGAACAAATTTTATGTGCACCAAGGCATGTGAGTGTGTATACCACCAGTAGAAACAAACAGCCTAGCTGCGGGTGGTCTGTTAATCAACTGGCATCATGTGGATTTCTCCTGAGTGGCCTCACAAACACATAGCTTGCAGGAGCACTGAGTAGCACTACTGCTCTTTTAACAAATGAAGACTTAGTACTGGTAGAAACATTTAATGTTGCTTTTTAGATAATTACACTTTTTGGATATTGTAGGAATTAATATGGTTAGAACAACTGGTGCCAATACTTGACCAAGTTTTACTTAATCTTGTTAGAACTGCCAGTATTTAGGTTACAACCAGGGTCTGTTAGATCTGGCCATACATATTTAATTTTGAGAACTTTTGCAGCATTCAACAGTTAGTCTCTACATATTCCTGTATTTTTTTTTTTTTTGGAAGATTGGACAGTGTAGTTATATTTAAGAAAAAATAAAAAAGTTTATTCAGCAATTAACCACACAAGAATATTTTTTAAAGTTATGTGCAGTGCAACTCCTAATACTTGATGTCTTAGAGACCACGGGCCTCAGAAGTAAACAATTAAGGGATCAGTGAATGAACTTTCGAACACTTCCAGTAGAAGACAGGTGAACTCAATTAAGATACTGTCTGGAAAACCTCAAGAGTTCAGGACATCTGTGTCTCCCCCATTTCACAGATGTTTATTTTTAAAGATACACAGTTCTTACTGGTTGGACATTAGGAATGAAACTGAACCAGTCTGAAACCCTCTTCATAAGGAATTCCAACAAAATCCTGAGCATACTCAGTAAAATTTCTCATACCTTTCCTCATATTCCTAAGAGAGATTTTAGCAAACAGATCTGAAGCCCTTATAGTAAATTTGAAGCAATGCAAAAGCTAAAAGCCTATGAAGTTGAGTAGTACAAGACCACTCAATATGCGAATTACAGAAAAAAAAAATCTCCAAACTAAACTGAGAGGGAAAACAAATACTCTTTCACTATGACAGGTTCAGACACTAATTCTAACTACTGCTCTTTAGCATGCATATTACATTTGTTTTAATTTTCATACTATTATATAGCCAAATGCTTTATCACAATTGGGCAGCTGTCAATACCGGCTAAAGAGTGATTTCATTACACATTCAGTGCAGTGTATAAATACCTTTACTATCAGATTGAAAGGAAGGTGTGCTGGTCCAAAAGGCCATTGGATTAGATTTAAAAAGGCTAAAATTAAATCCTAGAAAATAAATGTGAGTATAAGTGTTTATTTGGCCTTCTAGAGGGCACAAACATACCTATGTCTGAAGTGTACATCTCTAATATCTACAGACTTCAATTAGTTAACGAATGTTTACATTGCCTGCTGTATCAGTTTATTGATTCAATAAATGTAAACAAGCAGCAATCAATTTTTTCCCTACCAGGATACTTTATGTATATAATACTTTCTATAATTCTGAAATTCACTTATAGCCCAATATTCTGAGTTAGACAAAAATGGACATTTAACAAAATCTGACACTAACTTTCAAATGCAAATACAATCCTGTGCTTCATAAAATATGCAGTGTCCTACCAAATTCACAGCCATGAAAAGTGTGTCATGGACAGGAAATTTTGGGCTTCCCTCTGAAATCTGGTCTTGTGTGTGTTACCACCTTATATTTTACAGGTTTCATGGGAGAAACTAGTTTCTCCAATTGGGGATCCTAACAACAGAAGGATACAGTTCTGGGGAAGGAGGGCGGGGTGTTTCCACAAGGTTATTTAGGGCAGTGGCCCCCAGTCTTTTTTATACTGTAGACCTGCAAGCCCATTCAAACTTTTGACAGACCAGTAATATTTTATTCATTATGGTAATTAATAGAGATGTGACGAACTAGTCAACTAGGCACTTCCTCCCTCCCCTGCACTGCCTCTATCAGAAAGAGGCAGCAAAAGGCAGGGGGGGAGAGAGAGGAAGGAGTACAGTATTTCAAAGCAGCAGCACTGCTTGAAGCCTGGGGCCAGACCCTGGGCTCCACGTGGCACTTCCACTTTGAAACGCTGCATGCAGCCTGGGGCCAGTTGGGGTGTCCCCAGGCCACACGTCGCATTTCAAAGCAGTTGGTTTTAAAGCCCTAGGGCTGTCACTACACTTCAAAGGAGGAATCATCCTACCGACCAATAGAACAGTCAATGCAAAATGCATCAACTATTCAATTAGTCAATATTTAACACCCTTAGTAATTCGTTTTAAGAGGTCAAGTATTATTGTACATCATATTTGTAGGCATACAATGCATGCCATAATGGGTCAGTTTGCAGATATCTACAACACTAAAAAAAAATTCACAGAAAGAATTCCCCTTTGGCTGCTGGGTGGGGCAGCCTACCCGCATGGGCAACTGGTGCCTGCAGAGGGAGGGGCACAGGGCAAATGCATGTGGAACACCCTATTTAGCAACTAAAATTTTGTAAGGGGCATAGGAGCTGGTGCCCCCAAGTGCTACCACCAGTCACATTTGCCCTCCAATCTACTGCCTCATGGGGTGGGGGAGCTGCCATTGTATCTCCCCCATGTCCTTCTATATAACTCCTAACCTGTGTGTCTCCTTTCCCAGGCAGGCTGCTCTTGCTCCCACAGTCTCTCCCCTGCGTCTCCCCTTTCCCTCCTTGTGACACTACCTCAGTTTCCCTCCATTGCACCCCTGCTCCCATCTGCCCCATAAGTCTCTCCAACCTCCCTTCAATGCCTCCTGCATCTCCCTCTAACACCTGCCTCACACATCCTTATTTCCCCTCATCTGCCCCTGCCCCTCCTCAGCCCCCTCCTGACCGGTGTTCCTTCCCCCTAAGCTGTGCAGCAGCAGTTTCACAGGTGATTAATCAGCCCCTCTCAGTCAGCTCCCTGCATGGAGTCCTGAGCCTCTGCCCGGCAGGGCTGATTAATCACCTGTGAAGCTCTGATACTGCCCAGCTTAGAGGGAACACTGCTCCCAGATCCCCCCCGCTCCAGGGCTGGCTCCCCCTACCCCTCACACACCTAGAGCTGGCAGCAGCTAGCTCTGCTGGGAGCATCACAGGGACAAACCCTCCCCCTACAGCCCAGGGGCTGGCCAGGCTGTTGGTGGTGCCCTAGGAGAGGCTCTTGGGGAGCAGCTAAACTGGCACTGCTGGAGATTCCCCCTCCCAGCTGTAGTCTGGGCTCAGCAGTAGTCCCTTTTGGGACTCAGGGATCCGGCCCGGAGCCTGGCCTCAGAGTCACTGTGAGCAGCAGCTGCAAATTGCTTCCTGCTGCAGAGGCCAAACCCAGCCTTGGTTCCCAGAGGCCCTGCCTGCTGCTGGTCCTAGCACGCAACCCACAACCCTACAGTGTGTTGAAGCTCACCAGCCAGCAGTTCGTGGACTGGCATTGGTTTGCAGCCCAGTGGTTGGGAACCACTTATTTAGGGGGATTGCCAACCTTACTTCTGAGCTGTCTTCAGAACTGGACAGCCAGAGAGCAGTGGTTTTGTCCAGGTGCCCAGATCTAAAGACAGCACCCCAACACCAACAGCACAGAAGTAAGGGTGGCCATGATGTTGCACTCCATAATCTTCACATAAATATAAGTATGACATAGCTGGCATAGGCTTTATGTAAAATACTTTATGTAACATACTAGAAAAAGCTATATTCTGCTGCATGTGTGCATTCAATTTGTGTGCATGTATCATCCCTGTATATGAAGTTTGAAATATGAACTATAAACTTGTTTTACTAACACTAGTGAGGGTCACACTAAAGGTACTTCAGAAATGTCACGATTCATTTATAAGGACAATGACCTGTAAGCGGTGTGTTTTTCCTATGGACCAGTGATTACAGGGGTGGAGCAATAATTTTTGACCGTGGGCCACTTCAGAAATTTAAAAGGTGAAGCCCAAGAGTTTGCCTAGCAGAAGATACACCACATTATTCATTCACTGCCTAAACAAAACAGATCAATAGAATCTGTTCAGTGTCTTCAAGTTAGACCTCTGGAGTGGCTGTGGGCTGCTCTTTTATCACATGAAAGACTGGAGTCAAATTTAATATGCCACACAATTGTCTTCATGAAGAATATTTCCTGACAAATAAGTTTTAGACATCATTCAGCTGCTTAAAAATTTAGGAATCAGATAAACAGTAAGATTAAAAATCTAGGTAAAGCCTAAACAACACACATCAGCAGCACTCAAGTTTGTGTTTTATGGCAGGTTTCAGCTAAACCTCTCTAGGAAGAAATGGAAGCCAAAGTTTTCAACAATGACTAAAGACATGTCCCTGCACCTGAACTTAAGTACCAAAATAAAAGCCATGACTTTCAGAAGTGATGCCTATAAAAAGACTACCTATTTAGGAACAAGTCCAATTTGTGCATTCTGGTTCCAAACTGTATGCAACCATATTTGAAAATGTTCATCCAAACCTCTAGGTAATTACTAGCTCATCTGAATTCCTAGATACGGACAGTGTTATGCTGACATACTACACTAGTTCAGACATCTCCAACCCCCTTAATATGCACAAAGAGAGAACAATAAGCTAAAGAGGTATTGAAGTTTGTATTAACCACTGAAGAGAACAGTTCTGACATTACTAGGACAATTTACTGTATTTTAATTGAACTGCAACACAAAAACCTCCACTAACTGCTATCCATGACAAATTATTCAATAATAGTTTTAAAAAAAAGTTTCTACTTAGTATAAGTCACTACCAATTCAGGTAATACTTACCTTTTTCTAGCGTTTTAAATGTGTACTTAGAAGATTCTGCTGTTGACGTAACCAAATAATTTTCTCCCTTGCTGTCTGTAGGCTTCTGATTGGCAATGTAACTTTCCTGAGGCTCGGTTACAGTGATCTCTTGCTCTCTATGCTTTATGTTTTGAGACACTGAACTATCCTCTTCATTTTTGCTTTTTGAAGGAGAGTTAAAGCTGAAACCAAACAGAGATCCTGTAGCTGAAGTATTTCCAAATGTGAATGGCTTTGATTTTTCACTACTAAAAATGCTCTTGACTGATTCTGAACCAAACACGAACTTTGGAGGAGAAACCACCGTTTTTGCTGGTGTTTCAGAACTGCTTGACACCTCTGAAACCTCTACAGTCACATCAGAAGTATCACCATCCTGGCTCAGATCAGTTCTCTCTCTGGTAGTTTCCTCCAGTACAGCTACCGCAATTCTGCCACATGGAGACTCTCTTGGTGTACTGGCACGTGAAGAAAGAGGTGTGATTAGAGTATCTTTTTCTTGGGCATGTTTTGCTTCATCAAAAATTTGCTTAAATGATTCTGCAACATCTTGTAGTTTAAATCGCACAGCCAGAAGCTCTACCTTTCTTTCCCCATCTGCAAAATCACATGCAGTCCATACCCATGCTCTCTCTGTTCCTTTCATCTGTTGCATGTTCATGTCTGGTGTTATTCTATGATTGGCACAGAGTTTTAATACCTGGTCTCTTCTCATTACAATACGAACTTGTTTGTTGTCATAGTTCTGCAAGATCTTTATATCCCCAATACCTCTCTCTTTCCACTGATTGGCATCTTTATCATATCTGTAGAGTTTAGCTCTGTGACTGAAGACAACTTGTTCATTTTCTTCTCCACTTGCCACGTCTACAAGGTCAGGTAAAGGTACCACAGGTTCAAAGTACTGACCATCTTTTTCTTCTTCTTGAGTAAGATCAGATTCTTCATCTGTACCCACAGACAATCTGCTCTGATTCTGTTTGGCAGGAGACTTTGATGGGCTCAAGGCAGATTTAAAACTAAAATTAAATCCTGTTGTAGACTCCCCAAATCTGAATAGGTTTTTCCTCACAGGGCTACTTGCCAGTGGTGAGGCATACACAGAGCTGCTTACACTGTCATCTAAAGCTTCTTCACGTAAATCATAGTTATCCCATTCCAGAGTTGGCCCACTACTATCAGCATGTGGCTTTATAATTAAATCAGAGACATTACTGGCTGAATTTGAGTTTTTATTCTCCTCTTCTTCCATCAGTTTAGTTTTATCATCCGTCAAGAAGGTTTTGAGATCTTTCAATCCACTTTTCATTTCTTCTGCTTTCTGTATGAGTTGAGCTGTTCTACCTGTATCCACAAGCTTATGTGGGGTTTGTAGTGGTATATCCAATAGCAGTCTCTGGCACTCTTCAAATTTCTGTTTGAATTCCTCAGCCTGCTCTTGTGTTTTGAATTTAGCCGCCAGCTGCTCCAACTTTGCATCTCCATCAGAAAAGTCACTGGCCAACCACATCCATGCTTTGTCTGAACCAGACAGAGGTTTCAAATTCATTGTAGTAGTTATCCAATGGTTTGCACACACTTTCAGTACCTGTTCACGTCGCATTAGCATTCTTAGTTTGCCATTAACTTCATTTTTAAGAATTTTTAAGTTGCCAACACCACGTTCTTTCCACTGGCTTGTTTCTGGATCAAACCTAAATAGTTTTATCCTTTGTGAATAGAGCACTTTCTCATCCTCTTCCCCTGTCACTAGTTCCACTTTTTCAGGCATTTGGACAACAGGTTCAAAATGGATATCATCATTGTCATCTGTCTTATATGTTTCATCCTCCTTCTCAAGATCAGCAGAAGTATTAGCCTTGTGAGCTGCTTTAGAATTCTGAGAGGAAAATAACTTTTCACCTGCACCTGAAAAGCCCCTGAAGTTTGGATCTTTTTTACCAAACTGAAATCCTTCTCCAGAAGTAGTTTGTGCTAAGTCAGCAAAAGTGAAAGTGCTGCTATTCTGGCCAAAAACTAAATCACTATTCTGTTTGTTAGAAATGCTATGAGACTGGATGCAAGCGGAGGGATTCTCCTTTTTGTCTTTTTCATCACCACTGTTTAAGCCACCAGTGGCACTTTCTTTGGGTGGCTCATCCTTTGCGATATTTTTACTAGGCTCCTGTATGCCAAATTTAAATCCCCCTGCAGTCACAGGCATTGAAAAGCTAAATCTTTCTTTTGCAGATTTAGCTTCAGTATCTGAAGGAATCTGAAAGGTGAAGGAAGATGTTTTTCCTTGTTCTGCATGACCAAATTTAAAACCTTTTTCAGAAAAGTCTGACTTGAAACCTGTTCCCAGTTGTCCTCCAGCAGGTTCAGGTAATTTGCCTTTAAGGCCAAATGTAAGAGTTGAGGGAGCATCAGGAACAGACTTACTACATGGATTTGACGCTTGACAAGCCACACAGTTTACTGAAGAGCCTTCATTTCGTACTAAGCAAACATTGCAATCCCATTGTCCTTCCTTTCTAGCGAAGAGTCCCTCAAATCCACTTTTCTGGGGTTTATTTGCATCAGTGGTAGAACCAAATCTGGGAGCAGGAGATACGTGAATAGTAGATGTAGACGCATTAGGCTGATTTGGTGATTTAGGATTCTGACATGCAACGCAATTTACAGTTCCTGCTTCATTTCTAACTAGGCACACAGAACAGTCCCACTGACCCTCTTTTTTAAGAAATACAGCTCCAAAATCACTTTGTGTAGTCTTCGGAATAGTAGATGTAGACACATTAGGCTGATTTGGTGATTTAGGATTCTGACATGCAACGCAATTTACAGTTCCTGCTTCGTTTCTAACTAGGCACACAGTGCAGTCCCACTGACCCTCTTTTTTAAGAAACACAGCTCCAAAATCACTGTGTGTAGTCTTCGGAATGTCTCCTTGGCCAATTTTAAATGAAGCTTGCTGACCAAATACTGGCATGTTAGTTCTATTTTGATTTTGGCAAGCAACACATTTAGATGAGGTGGGTTCATTTCTTACTAAACATATATTACAATCCCAATGGCCTTCTTTTTTAAGAAAAACTGATCCAAATTTATTTTGTGCATTATCAGTGTTGAAAGCTGCAGTAGTTTCAGCTACTGGAGGAGCATACATTTCCTTGTTTCGTGGGTTTGGACTTCGGCATGCAATGCAGTTCTTAACAGTTGCTTCATTTCGAATCAGACATACATTACAGGCCCACTGATCTGCCTTCAATATAAACTGTTCCCCAAATCCACTAGTAGTAGTACATGCGGATGGGATTTCTCTACCAAAGGAAAAGGATATTGGTGTAGATGCCGCTGATGTAACTGGAAAACTGTTTTTGCCATCAGATCCTTTTACAGAACTGCTTGCATTTTGGAATGGAGCCTGGCAAGCATTACATAGGGATGCAGTTAAATTGTTTTTCTTTAAGCAGGCACTACACTGCCACATCTCCTCTTTCTTAAACTGAAATCCAAAATTTGGGGTTCCAGAAAAAGCTTTGCTAGGCTCCTTGCTATCCTGATTTGAGGTTTCTCTTTTAGTCTCAACATTCTGTGTGGCTGGTATACAAACATTTGATCCTGAGGTTCTCAAAATATTTTGCACTTCTTCAAATTTCTTCTTGAAAAGCATTGCTTCTTCTTTGGTTTTGAATCTAATGGCTAGCTGCTCAGGTTTTGCAAACTCATCTGCATAATCTAAAGCATGCCACACAAATGATTTGTCTGAACCTGCATTTGGTTTCAGCTTCATATCCGCATTTATGTAATGATTTGCACAAATTTTCAATACTTGTTCCCGCCTCATAAGGAGCCGAATTTTCCCAGATATTTTATGCCTTAATATTTTCACATTTCCAATGCCCCTCTCTTTCCATTCTTTAGATTCTGTGTCAAAACGGAACAGCTTTGCTCTATTGCAAAAGAATTCTTCTTCATCTTCCTCACCTGTCTTTACTTCAATCTTGTCAGGGAGTGGCACAACAGGCTCAAAGTGTGGACCATCATCATCATCATCACCACCATGCATGCTTCCTCCATCAGTTTCATGGCTTCTATTAGCCAGATCTGAACTTAGAGTTCCAAACTCTTGTTTTCCAGGATCTTGGAAACTGAAGATGTCACCCTTGTCAAAACCTGAGGTTTTAGGTTGGTTGTGTCCCATATTTTCTGTAAATGAAATACCTGTAATATTTTTGTTACCAAAACTGAAGACATTTCTTTGATCATGAATTGTTTTTTGCCCTATATATCTATCATCTTGTAAAGGTTTATCTGATGTCAGAAGACCCAAGAGGCTTTCACTGCTATTAAAAGTTGCATTGGGGTGCTGGGCAACAATCTGAGGTGATGAAAATGTAAAGTCTCCATCATTAGATTTGAAATTAGAGTTGAATTTAAAAGTGGTTGGTTGAGTTGACTGTGCAGGTGTTGTGAAAGAGGATTTTGTTCCATCTGCTGGTACAGGCTGCCCAAATGTAGATTTCCCAAATTCGATCACCTTTGATTCTGCAGATTTTGGAATTGGAGGAGCAATTGAAGGTTTTGTGAAATAGCCTGGTTCAGGCAACGGAGGATTTGTGCTTGTTTGTGGAACACTGTAATTATAATAGTCATCAGCGCCACGTGGAGACAGGAGTCCAGTCGCAGGAGAATCAAAACGCAAAGGAGCATTATACATTTCTTGGGAAAACATGCAGGCAGAGGTGTTCTGCAGTGGTGGTGTATGCATTGGCTGTTGATAAGCATATATATGTTGCTGAGGTGTAAGCCTGTTCATGCCATAGACTGGAGCCTAAAAAAAAAAAAGAAAAATTATAATTTTCTATAATGTACTATGGCAATGCCCATACAAACATAAAACAATCTCGGCTTTAATTTCTATAATGTTCTATGGCAATGCCCATACAAACATAAAACAATCTCGGCTTTAAAGATTGCTGATGTTTTCATTTTTAACCCTTAAAATAAGCCTCAATATTAAAGTGAAGTATAACAGCTATGATTTCCTTTCTATAGAAACACCCCCCTGCTCGAGCAAATACTTATTTCTTTTCTTTAGGGATATAAAATCCAGTTTAATTGGTTAACCCATTAAACATATTGTTTAACTGGTTAACAGATTAAAGATGGGATGGGCAGAGCTGCTCCTGCTCAACTGGGGCAGCCCCCGCCCTCCCCCACCCACATCTGGGCTAGGCAACCCCTCAGTCACCAACCACTGGGTCTGGAGCAGCCTCCTGCCCATGGCAAGCTTCTCCAGCCCACACTGGTTAACCTTAACCAGTAAGCCTTACCTTAGGATAGAGCGTGAGGTTACTAGTTAAACAATCACATCCCTATTCTCTATTCTTTCCTATTAGCCCAAAACTTCTTCCAATCCTACAGAGAAGCAGATTTTAGTTACAGTCAAATATCTGTCAATGGCTCTTATAGCAACCATGTATACATTAAACTTGAACATAAGAGGTTGCTCTTTGGATGATACTACCAGAACCACACTTGGGCATTGAGCACAATCCATATAAAAGAGTGAATATCCCACAAAGTTATTGTTAGAAGACCTAATTAAGAATTAATTTCATAGATAGATGTTGAGAATTGTTGAAGCAGTAAATGGACAGATCTTCCAAAGACTATAATTCAAAGCAGTAAGTTAACAGATCTTCTCACCTTTGTTGGTGTTACATTAGTAGCAGCTGTTCTGAGAAGATATTGAGAGTTATAGGCAGGCGACTGGCTATAGTAGACTGATGGGCCAGTAGTAGCAACTAAAAGAGAACACACAAGAGTTTAATTCAATTTTGCCATCCACCCAAATGAGAACCCTCTTCAAAAGGTAATACTTTATGATAGAAAGGTACTTTTAAACTCATTTGCAATGTTGAAACCTTAAATGTCTAATTTAGAGCAGATTTAAAAGCTGACCAAGATCTTCTGAAAACAAGATCCCTTAAACCCTCAATGCCAGTTTACCTGTTAGTGGAGCTCCATGAAAGTTTTGTGTTCCCTGATAGCCATCTGACATTGCATCTGTGCCATAGCCTTCAGTAGGCCACCGATGAGATGACAAGTTTGAGTTGGAATTATTGAGTTTCATTTCATGCATCTCATTCTATCAGGAGAGAGCATTTATATACTGTTACATTTTAATATTAAAGACAGGTTCAGTTGCATGTAAAAACAAAAGTAAAACAGACTGATTTTTAATCCAGATACCTTTGCTATCCACACCTTAATTTTGAAGAGATTACTGCATCTGTTTTCTTCATATATAGCAATTTACATTGAAGAGCTCTTAGTATAAACTAATATTATTCTATTACTGAGCCAATACACAAAACCAATCAAGTACCAGCAATAAATGAATTGAACACATCTGAAGTGCCATGTTCAACATTATATAAATATCCAATTCTTTCATTCAGAAGAAAAAAAGCACACATCAGTAGGCTAAAACAGGCCTGAAGAAAGAAACTTAAGAGGCAAGTAATAGGGTAATTGTGTAGTCAACATAATTTGTATCAACTACATGATCAGTTGATAAGGGAAGGCACTCAGGAGCTACTCCCGCTGCAACTCTGTGGTTTAAATGTAGTAAGAGCCGGAAGTGGGGATATTTAAGCTGCAGAGTTGTAGTGGGGATAGCTTCTGTAGCCGACGTGGTCAGGGCCTCGGCTGGCCCCCTGCACTGCTGCCTCGATCAGAGACAGCAGCAAAGAGGGACAGAGGGGCATGCAGCACCATGGAAATGATGCTTGAGGCAACTGGCTTCTCTTCTCTCCCCGCCCCCTCCTTGCTGTTTTTTATATTGGCAGATATAAGCTTAAGCTTATCAGGTAGTCGACTAATTGACTACTCTTATACATCCCTTGTCTAAAGCCAAAATGGAGTCCACAGTCAAAGACAATGGGATGTGAAATTGCTTAGCCTCCCTGTCAACATTCTGACCAGCCTGTAAGTGTTGCTGTAACTTTGCAGGGGCATGTGACTAGAGCACGAGACTATGAACTCCATTTTGGATACCTGTATTTTTCCACAAACTGGTATGGGAACCAAGTCTGAAACAAAAGGTTCCCAGTACAGGCAGTCCCCGGGTTACATGGATCCGACTTACATTGGATCCCTATTTACAAACGGGGTGAGGCAACCCCGCACTAGCTGCTTCCCCCCAGCAGACCAGGGAGACGTGAAGCTAGCGCCCCCCTCCCAGCAGACCAGGAAGACGTGGAGCGGCTTTTCTCAGCAGACACCTCAGCTTGAGAATAAAGGACTGAGGGAAGTGAGGTGTGGGAGAATAAAACTGAGCTCTGGAGAAATGTTTGGCTAGAGTTTCCCCTACAATATGTACCAGTTCCGACTTACATACAAATTCAACTTAGGAACAAACCTACAGTCCCTATCTTGTACGTAACCCGGGGACTGCCTGTATATGGAAAAAGCATTGTAAGGTAGGAAAGTTCATCTGTTCTTCACTCCCCCCAACCCAGTACCTGAGAGAAGCACTGAAACTTAGAACAGAAGTGGGGATCCTAAGCCACAAAGCAAGTGCACTTTGTGCCTGGAGAATCTGCAAGCCCGTGTGTATCATCCGTCAGGGTAAGAAATTAATTTGTACCCAATCTTTTCTAGTGTTTTAGATCAAAGCAGATTAGCAAAAAACCAAAACCGCAAATTAAGTCTATTTGCTATCAGTTATCATTTACAATTTATCTTTCATAGTTAATAAATTTTATTTTATGTTTTAATCTATCAGTGTGTCTGATAGGTCTGGGGAAAATCTCAGCTTGGTTAATACAAGCATAATGTGCATATTCTTCTCCACATTGCAGGAGAGGCAAACTAAGTAAATTCATACTGGTCAGGATTTTGACCAGGGAAGGATGGTATAGCTCTGTGGTCTTAAACTAGGGAGGCTGTGGATTATTTTGGCTGCAGCCTCTCTGGTTTATGTGGTGGTTGGCAAAATCCTGTAGGCAGGCTGGGTGTGTCCCTAGCTGTGTGAATGTCAGTGGGAATACAAGACTGGGAGCAGTCTAGTCTATTACTGTAACAGTGCTGGGAAGGAACCCAAGCTTGTAAGTCAGAGGGCTCAGTGGTACCGCAGTTTCAGGTAAACTAGGGAATGAACCTGTAATAACATTTAAGTTTATTAAGATCGTTTTCTTCAAACTTTTGCTACATGTAGATTTAATAAGCAGTAAAAAATTCTTCCATTATGAAGAAGATGAAGCACCTGTATCTCCCTCAGGCCTCTTCCCCTCCCTGCTGGTTCTGCTGCTTTTGTCAGCATTGGGAACCTCTGTTTACCCATTTCTCCAGCAAAGTGCATTCACCTTCAGAATGCTTTCCTCATCAGGAACACTCTGCTCAAGACTGTCTACAAAAGCAGTGGTCTTAGAGAGGCTCCTAGCCCGAGCAGAAATAGCGGTTTAAGACAAGCATCTGCACCTTGTCTGTTGTCTAAGCCTAGATTAATACACTGAAATTGAGGGGAAAAACCCCCAAGAACCCAGCATTCCATATTCCCTCCTCCTGCCACAAACACTTTTGGCTCCCCCAGGAACCCTTTGTGGGTTCCCATAGGAGTGTCAGCTCACAATTTGAGAAGCATTGCTCTATGGCTCCTATGCAAAGCAGATAAACCACCTCTTCCTTTGACTGATTTTATAAGGGTCCCTGAAAAGACAGGGATGAGGGACTGAAATAGTTGCAATAGCCATGGGCAATGAACTTGCAGAACCCTTTTCTGTTTTCACAGCCCACACAAGAAAGCAAGCAAGGGTGAAAGCAAGCAAGCATCCAAAATGTGGATGCTTGAGTGCCTGAGTATGGCTCTAGAAATTCTCATGGTACAGCCTGACCAACAGCCTGACCAAAACATTGACTCAGCTTTTTCCTTGGTGGGGACTTAAGATTGTCACTCAAAGTAACTGCCCCATTATATCTGAAGAGCTTGCAATTTTGAGTTGACATGTAGATGCCCAGAAAACATATTAAGGCCCTGGAAGCTTTTGAAAGCATGTAGTGAATTGTGCATACTAAGTTAATTGTAATCCTGTGCCCGCAAATACTTTGAAATTTTCTGTGTGAAATTTTCTAATATCGCACCATTTTTAACAGTATGAGATTTGTAATTTAATGTTATCATTAGTACAAATACTGTGTTAGAAGCACTTTTCACTACATATTCCTTGATAAAAATTAATTCAATTAGCTTTTATTTACCTTAATGGCTTCTACTTGCTGACAGATCATCTGAAGTAAAGACTTCTGATCTTCTACCCAACGAGGGGGAGTTTTGGGAGAGAACTGAAAGAACAATGACTGAATCTTATCACGTGAATTCAAAACAATGTATTTCACAAGAATTTTGTGTTATTTGATATACCTTGTAGCTTTTAGTTGGTGATAAAGAAAATTTTGTTGGTGATGGAGTAGAGTGTTTAATTTCTGAATCAGCAATTTGAGATAGACCATTCTTGAAGAAAGGGCTTTCTTCACCACAATCCCCAAGCTCCTGAACTACTGTATCCAGCATCTCCTTGACAGTTTCTATTGGCACTGGTAACTGAGAGAATTACAATAAAGAGCTATGATTTATTCACACATTTTTAAGGCTTAGGAGTATATTCTCATGTTGAATTTAAGTGCAAATCAAGTATAAAGCACAAGTAAGCACAAAGTTTCATGTAAAAACACCACATATCACACTGACTATTCCTGAATCTATTTGTTTAGATGAGTAAAAGTGTTTGACCTGTTAAACCTGAACCTTCTAGCTTTGAATATATTATTCTTCCTTGGCAGTTTCCCATAAGGCTTTTGCCACTGTCAACTACTATTTACATGGTATATTGTGACTTGCCTTTTCCAAAGCGCAATGCCTATTCTGCATGTACATCACTACAGGACAAAAACAGTAAATGATAAGTTTCTGCATGAACTTTAACAGAAAGAAGACTCGTCTAAATAGTCTCTTTTCCTTCTGTAGAAGGACTGCAAAGCAGGGATGGGGTTCACCATTCAAGAAAGGAGAAGAGTATTTGCATACAAACTGGCTAATCTAGTGAGGAGGGCTTTAAACTAGGTTTCACAGGGACAGGTTACCAAAGTAAAAAACAAACATGGAGACCTGGGAGATGAGTCAAATGGGAGGGGCTATGGGCTATAATAGCAGAGATAACATAGGGACACGGCAGAACTGGAGGGCAAAGTAAAATCAGTATCTTAGATGCCCATATACAAATGCAAGGAGTATAGGAAATATGCAGGAAGAACTTCAAGTGCTAATAAATAAGCACAACTATGACATAGGTCAAAGAGAAGTCCTGTGGCACCTTATAGACTAACTGAAGTGTTGGAGCATAAGCTTTCGTGGGCAAAGACCCACTTTGTCAGATGCATGTAGCAAATTGGACTGAAGTTGAGATGGACATAAGAGAGACTTGTTGAGAGTCTCTGGGTTAGGTTAAAAGGGGTAAAAAACCCAAGGGCGATGTCATACTAGGGGGTCTACTACAGACCACCCACCTAGGCAGAAGTGGACGAGGCTTTTTTTTTTTTTAAAAAACTATCATCATCATCCAAAGCACAGGATTTGGTGGTGATGGGGGACTTCAACTATCCAGACATATGTCTGGAAAAAACACAGAAGGGCACAGATCATCCAATAAGTTCTTGGACTGGACTGCAGTGGTTTTTTTTTATTTCAGAAGGTTGAAAAAAGAAACTGGTTGAGAAAGCTACTGTGGGGGTGGGGGAAAAGAGGTGCTCTTGATTTAACAGGTAGGAATCAGTTAAAAATTTGAAAGTGGAAGGCAGCTTGGGTGAAACTGATCATGAAACCATTCAGTTTGTGTTCTAAGGAATGGTAGAATGGAGAACAAAAAAATAAAGAAAATGGATTTCAGGAATGCAGATTTTAGTTAACTCAGAAAGCTGGTAGGTAAGGTCCTATGAGAAGCAAGACTAAAAGGAAAAATAACTGAAGACAGTTGACTGTTGCAGAGAAACGTTACAGACTGCCCCCAACTTGTGACGCGATTGGTTATTGGGATACCATCACAAGTCAGGGACGTTGTAACTCAAGCCCACATTTACGACAGGAGTTGCGTGCCGTCATAAATGAGGGGCTGCGGACGTAAGTCAGGGGATTTCAGCCCCTTCCACACTTACGGAAAAGGTCGTATATGCAGGGAGTCGTAAATTGGACCATTGTAAAGTGGGGGCCTCCTGTATTAAGGGCCCAAAAGCAAACTATTTCACTGAGTAGGAAAGACAGAAAGCATGAGACCACTTTGCTTAACCAGGAGATCTTACATGAGCTAAAAATCAAAAAGGAGTCGTATAAAAAGCAGAAACTACGTCAAATTACAAAGGATGACTATAAGTAAATAATGCAAGTATGTAGAGGCAAGATTAGAAAGGCGAAGGCACAAAACAGGCTCATTTTACTAGAGAGATAAAGGATAACAAGAAAACATTCTACAAATATATTAGAAGCAAGAGGAAGACCAAGGACAAGGTATGCCCACTCCTCAGTGAAGAGTGGAAAAAATAGTAACAGGAAACTTGGAAATCACAGAGGTGCTTAATGACTTCTTGATTTCCGTTTTCACCAAGAACATTGATGGTGACTGGATGCCTAACAGTGAATGCAAGTGAAAAGGGGGTAGATTTAGAAGTTAAAATAAAAAACCGAACAAGATAAAAATTACTTAGAAAAATTAGATGTCTTCAAGTCACCAGGGCCTGATGAAATGCATCCTAGAATACTTCAGGAGCCGATAAAGGAGGTATCATTAGCTACCATCTTTGAAAAGTCATGGAAGTCAGGAGATATTCCAGGAGACTGGAAAAGGGCAAATATTGTGCCCATCTGTAAATAGGGAAATAAGAACAACCCAGGAAACTACAGAGCAGTCAGCTTAATTTCTGTGCCAGGAAAGAAAATGGAGCAAATAATTAAGGAATTAATCTGCAAACATCTGAAAGATAATAAGAGGAAAGGTAATAGCAGCATGGATCTGTAAAGAACAAATCATATCAAACCCATCTGATAGCTTTCTTTGATAGGATAGAAAATCTTGTGGATAAGGGGGAAGCAGTAGAGGTGGTATAACCTAGACTTCAGTAAAGCATTTCATACTGTCTCGCATGACTATCAATAAATTAGGGAAATAATCTAGATGAGGCTACTATACGGTGGGTGCATAACTGGCTGGATAATAACTACTCTGAGAAGGGTTAACAGCGCCCAATCATGCTGGAAGGGCACAAGAGGGTTCTGCAGGGGTCTGTTTTGTGACCGGTTCTGTTCAATATCTTCATTAACAATTTAGATATTAGCATAGAGAGAGTACGATTATTAAATCTGCAGATGATAGCAAGCTGGGAGGGGTTGCAAGTGGTTTGGATAAGGTTAGAATTCAAAACAAATCTGGACAAACTGGAGAAATGGTCTAAGGTAAATAGGATGAAGTTTAATAAGGACAAATGCAAAGTATTCCACCTAAGAAGGAACAATCAATCAGTTTCACACATACAAAATGGGAAGTGACTATCTAGGAAGGAGTACAGGCAGTCCCCGAGTTACGTGGATCCGACTTACGTTGGATCCCTACTTATGAACGGGGCTTTTCTCGCCGCGGAGGACACGGGCGGTGGGACCGCCAAGACGCACCGCGGTCCCACCGCCCGCATCCTCCACAGCGAGAAAAGCTGCTCCGCGTGTCCCTGGTCTGCTGGGGGGGGGGGGGGGCGACAGGAGATGCGGAGCAAAGCCGCGGAGGACGCGGGAAGAGGAACAACCCAGATGCGCCACGGCTGTCCCGCTGCCCGTGTACTCTTAGG